GGCTAGTACAAGAGGGGGATTTGTTTGAATAGATTGGTTTAAGCCATAAGGGATGTACGTGCCCCAGCATGTTATCAACCACCATAAACTACTGGGGGGTCATCTGGCATCCCAGGTATTTTCCCTGTCTCATGCTGATTGGTGGTTGCTAGGGGATTGCTATGGGTCCTCACCTAGCCTAACTGAGTCAGGGACACCAGGTGCCACAGATCTCTCCTGTTATTTGCAGACAAACAACTCAGCAGGGTGGATATGTGCGTAGGAGCTCTCTGTGGATTTTTCCAAGGACAAGGGTCACGCTCCCTTCCTTGGACAGGCTTTGAGGTAGAAGCTTTTTTAAAAAATGGAGTCACGTCAGTTTCTCAACAGCAGAGTGGGCTATCAGGAGGTGGGACCCAGTTGGAGGAAGTAAGTTACTGGGGGCAGGCCTTTGAAGGTTATATTGTCCCTGGACCACCCTCCCACACACTGGCCCTGCTTCCCCGCTGACATCAGGTGAGCAGCTTTGCTCTGCCAGGCCCAATGTGGTGGAGCAAGCAGATCATGGTCTGAAACCTCTGAAAGTGTGAACCAATCAATCTTTCCTCCTTTAAGGTTGTTTTTTTTTTCCTTGTTATTTTGTTTCTGTGATGAAAAGCTGACTCACATGACTAAATTTAATGAGGTCAATTTTAGAATCAAATAAACCATGGAAGGAATATACTTGTTGGAATTTGATAATAAATAAAACTACAAATGGAATCTAATAGGAATGCTACTGTATCTTGGGAAAAGCGATAGGAGGAGGCCGTTACAATTCCCAGGCATCACCCTATTCCTGCAAGGATAGGGTTAATAGAACAACGCAAGAGTCCAGGCTGTAGGAGAAAGCCTGGCTGAGAGAGGGATGCAGCCATTGCTAACACTACCCTGACCTTTTCTTCCCACTTCTCTTGCCAACTAAGTGAATTGTAATGGAAGATGGAAAGCAAGAAGTCTGCCCTTTTCTTTTTCGGCACTTATCTTTGAAGACAGTGATTTAGTATTCTCAGAGCTTGGAAATCCTCCCAACTATCATCTATGAAGAGAAGCCAAGGAAGAATATATACATAAAGGTTTTAGTTTGTTTTCCATTGCTATAGCAAAATATTGGAATCTGGATGCTTTATAAAGAAAAGATGCTCATTTAGCTTTTTAGTTTTGGAGATTGAAAGTCCAAGATCAGGCAGCCCTGTTATGTTGCCCTCTGGTGAAGGCCCCCTTAGCTACATCATATCATGGTAGATGGTATCATGTTGGGAGTATTCCTGAGAGGGAGAAGTCACGTGACAAGACAGGAAGCTAGAACAGGAAGTGGCCAGTCTTGCTCTTTTGTAATAATTCACTCCATGAGACTAGTATCAATCCCTTCCAATGGTAGCCACCTGAATGACATAATCACCTTATGCGAAGCTCCGAAGCTCCATCTCTTAAAGATTCCATGCCACACTGAGCATCAAGCTCTCAGCACAGGAGCCCTCGAGGGACACACTAAATCATATCCAAATTGTAGCAAAGAAAGAAAGCAGGAATTAGGGGAATGTCTTAGCACTTAGAGGTGAGAGGGTAAGCAGTTGATGGCCAGAGCGCTGGAGGAGAACTGTGAGCATGGGGCAGTGTGGAGAAGAGGAGGGGACAGTGA